TTAGTTTCTAGATTACTGCGTCAATTTGACAATCCTTCTTTGCTCGTGACATTCGTCCACACTTATTTTATGTATACCAGGCATAAATACTTACTTAATTTTACCACTAACATATAGGGGCTCCACAGCAAAAGGTGGTGATGGGCCAAAAAAAAATTTTTTGCAAAAACTTTATTTTTGCAAAAATTAGATCAGTTAGAACACAATATTAAAAAACTACAGAAAAAATTTTTTGACCCATCACCACCTTTTGCTGTGGAGCCCCTATATACTGTATAAGTAAATCATAATAATAAAATAAAAAAATAAAAAATGAAACAAAAATGACAAAAAAAAAATTCTCATTCTAATATTTCATCCCCTTGAAGGGCTATCATGTATCCTATATGAGATCAGTACTCTAGGAAGGATAGCTCCTTTCAACTGGTTTTGAACCCAGGCTACTTTGCTGTCAGAGTAATATTCCAACCAGTAGTCCACATTAAAATGATTACCAAATTTTAAAAATTGACTCCTTAAAAAAATTATTTGTGTATCTTGATTATTCAATCGTTTTCTCATGATTTAAACTTTAATTTAACTGATCGATTATTTTTGTAATAAAATTTTTGATCTATTAAAAAAATTTTTTTTTTTTTTTAAAAAAAATCTTTTTCAGACCAATTAGTAACAATATGCCTCATATAAAGAAAGGAAATTCAAACAGATATCCTAAGCGACAAAAGTAAGAATTATATTTAAATTAAATTAAAAATTATAATAACTAATAAAATCTTTCGTTAGTAGTAAGAAGGTAGATAAGGAAAAACAAAGGGAAGTTGTTGAGGAGGTTAATGATAGATTAGAGAACTGGTAATAGTAAATTTTTAACCAATAGATATATTAAATTGTTAAATTAAAATTAAATTTGTAATACAGAGTAGAAGAGTATATTAGAAAATTAGAAGGAGAAAACAAAATTTTATGGGAGAAGTTGGAGAAAAAATGAGTAGATAGAAGTTTAAATAAAATTTTGGCAGAAGAGATATTGAAAGTAGGAAGTTAAGTGCAGTAAAGAAATCATTTGAATTAGAGTATAATGTGTTAAGAAGAGACATGCGAGAGTTGTTAAGTATAATAGATATGAGGGCAGAGACTAATAAGGATCGACAGAGAATATGAATCAAATATGATTTAGAGGAATTTGGAGAAGAAGAGGAAGAAGAAGAGAAAACTGAAGAGGATAAAAATCCTAAAGAAACTATAGTAGTATAGGAAGAGGAAGAAGAAAAGTCTCGAAAGATTTATGAAGTGTTGTTGGAAAGGGAATCAGAAAGTATTAAAGAAAACTCAGAGGATGATGGAAGTAGTTCTGGGATGTTGTTAGATTAGGTTGGCAATAGAAAAAAAAATTTTATAAATTTCTTTTATATTTTTCTTTGTCTTGCTAGTATATATATTTGTTGTTTACTAATTTTTCTTCGAAGTACTTTTTCCTTAACTTCTAGATCATGCTTGTTATTTATATTTAAAAATTAAACTTATATTTGACTATCGAGTCAAATTTTTAAAAGCTTGTTAATAACCTTACAATATTGCAAAAATTATATCAAAAAATTAATCTTTATATATTACTCTCTCTCTTTATTTAATTTTTCCAGAATTAAATTCTAATCATCAACTTGATTAACAATTCGAATCATTAAAACTATTTATCATAAGAGTTTACTACACTATAAACTTTAAAAAAAATTTTTAAAGATTTTATATTTTAGTATATATATATTATTGTTCATGTACTATTTTAATTAAAATTTGTTTTTGTTTTAATTTAATTTATCTTAATAAATATTAACTTATCTTTTTATTTCATTTAGGTTATAATTAATTTAAGTGCAACTGCACTTATTTGATTTATGTAACTTTGCTCAGTTTTGTTGAATTTTGACAAGATTACAGCTTATATAGACTTTTGTCTCTTTGTCATTCTAGTCTACATGCCAAATAAAATATACTTCTAAATCATAATGTTCTTAGAACCAATTAATATCATCTGGACAAGTATTATTGTTATAGTGGAAATGTTTTTACTCTTCTAATTTTAGCTTGATGGAAGTTAATATATCTGCTTGGTTTGAGTAAAACCAACTTGTGATAAACCTTTAATCAGCTTTGAAATTAATTTCATACTACTAATTTTGCTAGTATACTTTTCTTCAGGATGTTATAGTATCGCAATGATTTAATAACTTTATTATTCTTTATGACTTGCTTTTTAATTATTCACTATACTAGATATTTTATTGATCCAATTTTCCTTTGTGTCACAAGCACCTTTGGCATTAGGTCATTTTTGTGGATCAGAATTTATATGTTTCTCAGCCAATACATTTGGGAGCTTCAAGTACAAACTCTGGTTGCAATTCATTTTTACAAATCTTAAATACAAATTTATAATTGAATTCATGACCATCAAAAGGTCTTTGTCCTGTTGACAATTTCAACATAATGACTCCCAAGCCATAATTGTTGGCAGCTGATAAAATCTTCTGTTCCAATTTCAAAAGTGATATAAGGCAAGACTCTATAAAAATTTTTTAATTTTATTTTTTTTTGAGAATAAATTCTTTATTTATTTTTATTTACAGATGATCTTCTTATTGTATCTCCATATTTTATAGAGTTAAATCTGATATCTTTTAACTCTTTATCATCTGCTCGATCTAATTTGTTTGTTCAACTTGTTTATTTACATGACTAATACTTTGTGTAGACCCTTTTACCAGACTATGTGACTTATGTAAATATGTTTCATTCTTATTAATCATTTTCTTCATATTTATAATATATAAATAAACTAAGTTAGTTTTTGCATAACAAATATGACTTACAGGCAGAGCACCTCTAAGTCAGTTTTTATATAATAAATATGACTTATAGCCAGAGCACCTCTGAGTTAGTTTTTGCACAATGAATGCAACTTACAGGCAGAGTATTTCTGAGTCAGTTTTTGCACAATAAATGCGACTTACAGGCAGAGTACCTCTGAGTTAGTTTTTGCACAATAAATATGACTTATAGGCAAAGCATCTCTAAATTAGTTTTTGCACAATAGATGCAACTTACAGGCAGAGCACCTCTGAGTCAGTTTTTTTTTTTTTTAACCCAATAATACATATATAGTTTATTAAGTTTATTAATCTTATACAAATTACAAGCTCATTATTAATGATGATCACTATGACATCATAATATTTTAGTTGCTATTTAAAGTGATTTTAACTAATTGTTATCCCTTTTTGCACTTAGATCTTTTGTTTAATTTCCTTATCTAGTATAATATTTCTTTATTAATTTTCTATTTATAGATATTTTTATTATATTCCCCTCAACAGTACGTAGTTTATATACCCCTCTCTGAAGAACCTTGTAGACAACTAAAGGTCTCTTCTACGTCAGGTATAATTTGTGGCTTTTAAAGTGCTGTTAAGAAGCCTTGTATACTAATACTAGGTCTCCTTTCTTTAGTTCTTGTAGCATCATTAATTGAAAATTATATTTTCTTTTAGCACTTTTTTGTGCTCTTTCAATTCATTTTATAGCATTGTTCCTTACTTCTGGTAAGATGTCTATTAAATTAAAAAGTCTTTGTAAAAATGTACCTTCTAATAACTCTTCATTTTCACTATAATGAATAGAAAATTTCATTTCTCTTCCATATACCAGGAAAAATGGAGTTATCTTCATCATATTCTGCTTAGCGGCTTTGTAGGCAAAGAGGATCGAAGGTATTAATGAGTCTCATTCCCTTATATTAGTTATCAATTTGGATATAGATTCACAAAGTATTTTATTAAAATGTTTCACTAATTCATTTGTTTGGGAATGATAAAGTGTCGAATAATTATAATTAATGGAGAATTTTTTTAAAAATTCATCCATTAAATTATTTCAGAAATGTGTCTCTCTATTAAAAAGTAAGTATTATAAGCACCTATGTCTATATACTATATCTTTATAGACAAAATCGGCTACTTTCTAAGCATTCACATATTTTATTGCTCTGGCTTCGGGCCACTTAGTCATGTAGTTATTCGCAACTACTATATATCAATTTTCCTTTGGAGTTATAGATAAAGGTTCTACAATATCAATCACAATTTTAAAAAATGTGGCTTCTACTAAAATGGGGTGCAGTGTAGATTTTGCTAAATTTTTTCCTCTTCTTTGACAAGTATCGCAGATATGGACAAATTTTCAAATATTAGTATATATCTGTGGCTAATAATATTTATTATGAATCTTATAAACATGATCTCTATATCCAAGTGCCTTTCCAATAAGTGTATATAAACTAAAAACAAGATTGGTTCAACCTCAGACTTTTGAATAACTCTTAATAGATAGTTAACTTGGTGTTTGTCTTTCTTGTAGATTTGATCATTCTTTACTATGAAGAATTTACTTTGAGATTGGATACTTTGCCGGTCTTGAGGAGGTAATAATTTGGGTAAGATATGTTCTTGAAGATATGTCTTTAATAATTGATAATAAAGTGATTCTATTTTTTTATTTTTGCCAGGACACCAACTACCTGGACGGGATTATTCTTAATATCAGATTTTGTTTGCAAATCTTGGATAATTACTTAATTTCTTTTAAAATAAAATTTCTTTTCTTGATTTTCTATTTTCAATTTTTTTCTTTTCGTGATACATTCTTGATAAAGCATCAACATTAGAATGTTTTTTTCTAGCCTAATGTATAATAAAATAGTTATAAGGTTGTAACCTCAAAATTCAATAGGCTCTTTTCTCTTTTAGTTTAGAGGTATGTAATTACTTAAGGGTGGCATGGTTCATAATTAAGGTAAAGTGTTTAACACCTAGATAATAATAGAAATATTCAACTGCCCATACTACAGCTAAACATTCTAGTTCAGGTGTAGAATAATTTTGCTCAGTTTTTGAAAAGCCCCTACTGGCATATACTACTACATATTCTTTGTAGGTTTTATCTTTTTAAGCTAACACAGCTCTTAAACCTATGCCAGAGGTATTAGTGTGTAAGTAAAACAATTCTTTAAAATCTGGGTATCTTAAGATAGGTGCCATCATTAAATATCTTATTAAAGTTTCAAAGGTATTTTGTTGATATTCTTTCCATTTGTAGGAAACATCTTTCTCTAATAGTTTATAAAGTGGTTGGGCTATTATAGCAAATTCTATAATAAATTGTCAATAATAGGATACTAACCCAATAAATTCTCTTAATTGTCAAATATTTTCAGATACTGAAAATTATTTTACTTTATTTACCTTTGACTTGTTAGGTCTTACCCCCTCCTTATTAATTACATAATTCAGATAATTGATCTTGGATTTAAAGAATATATATTTATCTGGATTTAATTTTAATTCTGCTTTTCTTAATTTATTAAAAATTATTTTTAAATGTTTTAAATGCTCTTTTAACAAATTTGAATAAATATTTATATCATCTAGATAGACTATAGTGAAATTTTCAATACAATCACCAAGAACTTGATCTATTAACTTTTGGAAATTTTTCAAAGTATTACAAAGACTAAATAGTATTACTTTAAAGACGTAAGTATTATATTTTGTTATAAATATTGTCTTTTCTATATCTTTTTCACTAACTTCAACTTGCCAATATCTACTTATTAGTTCTAAAGTAGAAAACTATTGAGCCTTTTCAAAAGTATTAAGAAAGTCATTGATAAGCAGAAGTGAATAAGTATCCTTTTTAGTTACCGAATTAAGTTTTTAGTAATCTATGCAGAATCATAATTTATCATTTTTCTTTAGTACTATGACTACTGGAAAAGCTCATAGACTGTTTATTTTTATAATTAGTCCTTGTTCTTTTAATTTCTTAATTTCTTTTCTTATAAACTCTTTTTCTTCATAGGTGGCCCGATAATAGCCTTGTTTTATTGAAATAGCATCATCTGTATTAATACTATAGGTGGTAGCATTAGTATATCCAAATTTTCAATACTTTGAGCAAATAAGTCTTTTTTTTAAGTAAGAATTCTTTAGCTTTAAATTGTTCTTGTAATGTTATTTCTTCATTATTAACTATTTCTTCTATTGTTTCTTTAATAGATTTTTCTTTATCTTTTTCCTTTTTATCTTTCTTTGTAAGTACCTCTTTTATATTAGTAAGATATAGTACTAGACTTTCTACACTAAATAAGAGTTAACTTCTGTGAGTCCCAGAATGTAACAAGAGGACCCGGTAATTGGTCACGTGAAAAATGCATGAAGTGCAATAAATATAATAAGTTACATTTAAGATCGGAAAAGGCATTTCGGATCTATAAGGAAATGTGAGGACGGAAAAATGTGACCTAATAATCGCTGCGCCAACACAAGTTACCCGGTTTTGATGATCGCTAACCGAAAAAGGAGTTGCCGGTGATATATTGAATATATTGAAGAAATTAAATATATCCCGGATAACTAATATAACGAAGATAATAGATAAAACCAATTT